ACCTATTTCTATTGCATGAAAGTAAATGAACTTTGAATTTAAATGAGAATAGCAGGGATGAAGTATCAAAGAGTGGAATTAAAATGTAACAAACACTAGGGTTTCGGAATCCACCCTAAACAATTCTACCTATGTTCATGGATACTCAAGTGATGAACTCTAAACGTGTTGTTGAAGATGTTCGCAATCAAGACCAGTACGAGTGGCTCAAGACGCATTGATTCTCTCTAATGTACGTAAAGTGCAGTACGAGTGCTACAATACTTGTGCCTTCCCTATATTCGAATCTAGGTGTGCTTAGTACTTTGATTCAATTACAAGAAAAACCCATTAAGTTCAAAGAGAATATGAACATCACAAGAATCCTAATAGCATGGTGTTTACATTAGGTATTCAAGAAACCAATTCACATGGATGGTTCTTACTCTATCCATTTATTGCTTAGGAAAACATGAAGATACACATAATCCCAACGACCTCAAGAAGCATGCTTTCAAAGGTAATCAATCAAGGAAAACACACATCAAGGATAGATTAATTTGGTGAATTGGAATTCATCAACAATATCTATAAATTCATACACTCAAGCATCAAAACAATAAGGTTTTCATGTTTAGGGCTTCAACCTAAGCCCTAGCTATGGAGTTTAGTTCCTCATACTTATTTCAAATACAAACTCAAAACAAAACTAGAAAGAAGTTACAGATTTTGTGAACATGGGAGCTCAAGGTCTTCAATGGTGGAAATCTCTTCCACTTCTTGCTTTGTTGCCCTTGCCTTCCTCCTTGAGCTCCCTAGCTCCAAGCTTCATCTCCAGCTCCAAAATCTCTGCAAAATAAAATGATTCTGATTGCAATGGCTGATGCTCTTTGCACTCCTCTCTCCTCCTTTCCAGCTTTTCCAAAATATCTTTTAATATAAAACAATTACTTTTGTTAAAGCCTTAAGCCTTGTCTCCTTGCCATGATGGGCTCTTTTGTTATTGTCTTCACCAAGATGCTCTTTGTTTCAGATAATATCTCTCATTTACTAAGGTAATTTCTTGTTACCAAGTGTTATGGTAACAAGAAGAATCAAGATGACACAATGGAGGTAAAAGCTGGCCAATTTCGGATTTCCAGAGCTGTGGTAACATGCTGGATCAGTTGGATAGGCTAAACTTGTCCAATGGAGCTCAAATTTGGATATGTTGTAGTCAACATCCATTGGAACAAGTTTCAAGAAGATCTTCACCTCATCCGAGCACCAGAGCATGTTGATCCCAGGCCAAGAAGTTGACCTACGAAAATGAACAAAAACAGAATTTATAACCAATAATGCATTTTTAGTTCATTTTCTTTCTAACCAAGGTAAAATCTAAGAAAACACAAAAAGGAAGTAAAAAGCTATAAAATGTCAAGAACTAACTCAAAATAATAGGTGAATAACATGAAAAATCATGTGTAAAAATGAACCGAACAGGTGTGAGCATTTTAATGCCCAGTAGAGTACTGTAACATTCCTCCCCTCAAAGCCAGCTATCACCGCTAATCAAAGTGACATGTATTAAACAATTACAAGATAAATGTATTATGCATATGCAATGATGTCATGAATTCACGCCCTTTTAAACCCACTAATTCATACTTTAGGGCATCAAGTCTGCATATCCCATACCATGCATTTTACCACTGTGGCTCCGAATACCATAAAATATAATTTAGTGCCCATCCATCCCTTACCCCATGTTTATTTTGTTTACGAATTTCTCAACTCTCACTTTTCATTAGAGGCCCTGCTCCCATCACCTCAATATATTCAAGCCATGCTCCCGTCACCTCAATATATTTCACATTTTTTACTCATATATATCTAAAGTCTTCTCCCACTCCTTAGATATACCTTAAACTACACACAAACCCAACATAACTGTATTTATGATCCATATGTAATGCAGCTCAAAAGTTCATTAATCTTTGCAGAATGATAATAATTCAAATAAAAATAAAAATATTTCAAATTTAATCACATGGAGAGTAATATTCATCTAACATCACATAATACTCAATAAACATTCATAAAACAAAACAATAGTATACACCTAACAATATCCACACTACTACAAAAAAGGCAAAAGACGACGGAAATTCACCGTTGTGTATCGGGTTTTCAAACCGTCGTAAAATCGACCGACATCTTTTGCAAAGTAAAACCACGACGCGAAATCACCGTCGTTGTAATGACAAACAACGTCATGAACAAAAAAAAAACCGACGTCTGTATACTGAAAAATGAACCAAAAAATTGTCGTGGAAAAGAATAGACGACCTATTTTATACAAACTCCATCGTTTAAATAAATACAATACGTCTTTAAATAAATTAAATCCGACGTTATTTAAACATACAGCGTCCAATGTATTTAGGTAACCGTCGTGAAATACTTTTTCCACTTCGTTTTTTCCATTAATATTGACGTGGAAATAGCGGTTAGGGTACATCACCGTCGTTGTTCTAACAAACAACGTCTTTACCAAAAAAAACCGACGTCTGTATACTGAAAAATGAGCCAAAAAATTGTCAAGGATAAGAATAGACGACCTATTTTATACAAACTCCGTCGTGTAAGTAAATACAATACGTCTTTAAATAAATAAAATACGACGTTATTAAACTATACGACATCGGGAATATATATATAACCGTCGTGAAATGGTTTTTCCACTTCATTGTATATAAAATAAACGACGTGGAAAATATGTTAGGCTCATGACTTACGACATATTTATTTCTATAAACGTCGTCGTATTTTATATACAACGTCGTGATCATGTAAAAGACAGCCGTGTTTCTCTATTTATACGTTGTCTTTACCAAAATAATAGTCGTCTAATATATCTGAGACGGCGAAGTTTTTCAGCCAATCGACGTGGAAAATATATGTAACGACATAAGAATAAAAAAACAGACGTGGATATTTAATATAACGTTGTTTGTGCCTG